ATAAACAGTCACATGGGCGTATATAAACGTACAATATTGATTCATTTCTCTCTCATACTCTTGAGTGGTGACATCTCTGTAACGGTTCATCAACAATTAATTTGTTGTATGAACTCGTCTCAGATCTGGCTTTAATTACAGTTTATAATATAGAGTTCCATTTAAAAATAGAAAGCAACCTTGATAAATTCATAACGATATTTCCATAATTAATATTGTATATCGATTAACGTTATACACTGTATGCATTTCATTTGAAAATCTTTTCTATACGTTAAAATGAGATATTTGATGTCACAGAATTAGGTGGGACACACTGTGCAGAAGTTACAAGCACCCATGAAATACACACACTAAGCAATGCCATAGCCAATATATAAAAAATTGTCACTTTTTCAAAAATACAAGTGAATCAACAACCAAAATTTCTATAAAGTGATTTGTCAAATGGAGTTATTATTTTCGTTGAGATGGGGACAGACTGTCTCTGTGCAAATGCAGCTGCTAACAGCAATAATGGTAGCATGGGTATAAGCACTGTTATTAAACTATGTATAAATGCTTCCGAATAGTACAAAATTAGAAAAAGCACGGGCATAAAGTACATTCATATCTCAAATTATGCTTATAGCTGTTTTACAACTTTACATTGTATATTTTGTGCCTAGTGTATTTTAATTTGTTCTAATACCTGGGTCACACCAAAAGTAATGCCCATTTTTTTAAGAAATCTATAGCATTACTATTAATTCATTTTTTAGGTTCATCCCTTAGGAGGAAAACCTATTTTTCCACATAATCACCTCCACTCTCAACTGATTTTTTTCACCTTGTAAAACTCAGAGACCTGCTTTCCCCCGGCACTGCGCGGTAAGTCGTGTATATCGGCATGTTCACTTTTCCGCGATCGCTTGAGGATGTTTCCCACAGTCTCGTTCTCACACACGAAGAATTCATTTATAGCACGTTGCTTCTGACGGATTTCAAGTGCTGCCGCCATTTTTAACGTATGATATACCAACGCCACTAGCGGGAAGTGGATGAACTAAGCAGGAACAGAAGCGGGAAGACAAAATCTATAAACTATGAAAAAAGAAGCCCTGTGTAATAAAAACAATTTTTTAAAAAATGAGGGCATTACTTTTAGAGTGGCCCTCGAATGTCTTTATTCTTTTCTACTTTAATATAGCATCTACTACAGCACCTCTCAACACTGACTATCATACCATACAAACATAACATGTTATAATAATTTGAGTTCCATGATACATGAAGATGACCTATACAGACCGAAACATGGCATTATTTACTTGTTTTGCATCAGCAATAATTATAATAAAGTTGATGTTACACAATACAAACTACAAGACAAAGCTTAAGTTTACAGTTGTCATTCTTAAAATGGACTATAATTAACGCAGTATGCTGTTTAATGGATTTCATGTTGCAGTTTGGCCTATTATGGATACAGACGAGCGGTGGATCCACTGCTGTGAGGGTAATTGCCATTGTCTCCCAGAGACCATGACCTTAAGTTGTTGGCGCCATGAGCTAGGAGAACTTCCAACTGATCAAGTGGTGCCAAATGATGTCCAAGTTATGTGAGTAATTTGGGAGATCTCTAGCAGTCCCTTGGGAGTACTTATTAACACACTATATTTCAAACTTATTTTATCTGTTAACACACTTCAATCATGATTGCTGTAAAAGTTGCAGCATCTGCATTTATTTACGGCTCATTTTGTTCTCTAATAATCTTACTTTCTGATGGCTAACTCATATAAATTCATGATAAATCATTACTATTTTCAGGCTTGATATGGCCATTTCTGACATCTGAATGTAGGAGGGAAATGAAGGTGTATTTTGCTAAGAAATATGTCATCCCATAACCACGTACGATATTCTCTCACCATGTTGGCAGACACAATACACTTATTTATATTTCAAATAAATGTAAATTGAATAACAGTACATGGTAGAAAATATACCGTACACTAAATAAGGAGAATTTTAATTTAAATAAATAAATAGTTTTGAATTCCTAGTTTCTTAAAAACAAAAAGGTGTCCATATGGATCACACATCCATGCATTCATAATGCTTTCTTGAAGATTCAGTCCAACCTTGTGAAGAATAATATTGTGGGAAGGGCATGCAGCGCATGTAAGAGTTAAGAAATACATACAGAATTTGTTAGAAAACCTGAAGAAAAGAGACCCAGGAAAGAATGTGAGAGCAGAAATGCATCTCAAGAATATAGGTTGCGAGAAAGTGACTGGAATCATTTGGCAAGAATAGGGGGTCAAGGTACGCTCTCATGAACAGGTAATGGACCTTCACGGAAAGTGACTAGCTACGTAACTATATATATATATATATAGGCTACAATACCATTTCCATATTCTAATTTTTATTGCTTTGTTATTTCATTACAGAGACCTGGGGATTAATTTCTTAACCACTCTTCACAAGAACACATTTCAAGGTCTTACGTTACTTTCTGAACTGTAAGTAATAAGTCTGCCATAAATTCACAAGAATATTATTACTTCTGGTGCAAATTTTTTTCCAATGTTGATACTGAGCATTACCTAACATGGAAAACATTAAATTAGGTTTTGAAATAATAAATGTTAACTCAATGAATTTTGTTTCCTGTTAACAAAAATCTGTCAAAGACCCACTGGGATGCATTGCCAATTTGTTAACAAGGTTTTTTTTTTGGAAATAGAAATGGCTAAGCTGTATCAACATGGGGATTTACTTAGAATACATAATTACAAGTGACCTTGAAATGACATGAAAACAATCAATTAACGAAATAAACAATTTTACCTGTTATCATACAGGAATAGGGGAACTGCTGACTGTACTTTAACTCTCAAATTTAATGGCAACAAACTTGTTTTCAACGCACGGCCAGCTGGACTGCAGGGAAACTGCAATGTGCGACTGATTAAAAGTTAAGAGAAAGAGGACATAGGTCATGAGCACATGAGGTTGCTCAAACAACCTCAGGACCACCCTCAACTGTAGACCATGATGTTAGCAGCACCGAATCTTCAAGTTTTGCTACCAGAGGGTTAAATAGCTTCACCCCACAAAAAGGGCATGTTCATATTTTGAAAAGGAAAAAAAACCCTACAGCAATACAAATCACAGATGAATTAAATATTCTTACTTGTATTTGTCTGTTCCAGAGACCTGTTTGACAACCAAATCGATTACTTACCTGAATCACTTTTTAATTCTTTGGACAGTCTTCTGCACTTGTGAGTGACAACATTATTGTTTACTAGACTCTAAACCAATTATTTATAATGTGGCAAAAGTATTTCAGTCTGGGTAACTGAATATCTACAATCTAGTTCAGACCCAACATAAATCTAATTGCTTCTGTGACAACAGTAAATATTTTGCCATTTTTATTTAATAGCCCATACAAAGCGTGTTAGGCATTTTCAAATGTTATTACTGTATCATATTTCATACGCCTATAACTAAGAAATTCATGATACTAAAATGAAATAATACTGAAAATACTGTAATATAAATTTATAGAGGCTGGCAAGAATTAAAAATTAATAATTTTCGGCCATGTAGCTCATCTGTAGAATTGCACTATGGGAAACCTTCCAAGCAAATTCTTGGTTATGTATAGCTCAGAACTCAAAACATGAAAGGGTGACTGTACATCAAAATCCAAATTTCGGATTTATTGTACATTTTCGTAATTTATTTTCACTGGAAGAATCAAGTCTAAAACTAAAATTTCACTATTTTGATTGAATATACCATTACAATTTGTAATGACCATCACCAATAGGAATCAATCAACATATTCAGTAACACAAAATTTTCTACTAACTTTAAAAGAAACAGAAACAAAATAAAACACAGTCACAAAAGAGGTTTGTTATGCTGTTTGCAGGCGACTACAAAGAAATCGTTTGGTTGAGATTCCTCAAAAATTATTTCTGAAGTTGATCAACTTGGAAACTCTGTAAGTACACGTTTTGAAAATCTTATTTTTTTCCAATAAAATTATGAGAACTAGTATTCTAAATTTCAAATGCCAAACTACAACAGTTCACTGTTGTCATCAAAGAAGATAAATGCAAACATGAACAAAGTGGTTAGGTACATTATAAATCAATGTTATATATGAGAATTCATGTTGGACTGAATAAAACAGACTGTATATTTGAAACAAGGTCAAAGATCTGATCCAACGGACTGGACACTTTTAAATAATTACTAACTGCAGGTAGCAAGGAGTCTATGCCAGTACACACATCAAATCTCTGCCAGTTCACATGAGAGGGATTCAGAGATATTATAAAGTCTCAATTATAATATTGAAGTATATAAACCAAACAGTTCTTTTCCCAAAACCAAGACTAATTTTGGCCAAATCAGTCTTTATTTCATAAGTCAAGTGTATTTTCAACTAAACCACCAGTAAAATTAGTTATTGATTTAAGAACGAAGTATCTTATTGAAACTTCCTGAACATTAAAAACAGATCCTACTATTTCATTATGTAAACTGTTTTTGATTCATAACAGCCAATCTACAACATGTTGTAAACCTGCACAGCCACTGAGACATCTCATAGTTACTGCAACAGAATTTCCTGACAATTAACAAGCTCATGACTTAAAACCTTATGCAGAAGTATAAAAAAGATCTCTTGTTCTTTTACTATTTTATTCTATATTAATATTATTATCATCACAGCTGTCTTTGTCATCATTCTTGTTGTTAATAAAACTTTTCTATCTCAGTGACCTGTCAATGAACTCTGTACGACATATGCCTCAGGAACTGTTTCAAGGCAACAGGAAGCTGACTGTGATCCATCTATCAAGCAATTCCCTCAATGATCTACCAGGGCAAATATTTCAAGATTTAGTTCACTTGGAGGAACTAGATCTCTCCAGCAACATACTAACCGATATTCAACCTGAGACGTTTAAAGGTAGGCCTACTTATCACCCATAATGCATTCTTCTACTGAAAATATCTAGCATGTCGGAAAATGCTAAGACTTCTCAAATACGTTGACATGTAGATTAGCTACACAGCAGTATGTGCAAAATGCATTTATGACATAGATAATTTAAATCCCAGCTATACTCTGACTGTCCTTGATGACATTTTCCTCAGGCCCTCTAGAAGAACGTCTTAAAATATGCTAAGTCTTCCTCCCAATCACAATTCATTACTATCCTAGTGTATCTCAGTTGACACTACAAATCCTCTTATAAAGCATCACAAAATAACCGTAACACAAAAGTAGCATAATTGCAACGCAATATTTTCAAGCAGTTATATCCTTATAAATTGTTTTATTTATGGTGTATTACTACAAAATAAGTATATGCACAGATGATTTGTTTTTCAGGAATGTTATTCATATGCTGCTTATTTATGTTCTTGAGAGTATATAGATTCATTATTAATAGTGTAGGTAGCACAAAAAGTGCTGGCACTTGCGCAAGGGACTGATTTTGGTCATATGAGATGGACCCGTCTGAAGCACGCGCTAGAGGGGTGTCTGCTTCAGTTGGTTTGTAGCTCTTGCTGTGTTTAGATCGGTGCGTCACCGCAGCTGAGGCTGTGCGACCCGGACTACTACTGAACTCCCCTCTCTCAACTTACACATCGTGCATTTAGGTGCCACCACTACTTGCGCGACCTTTAAGTTCCATGTACGCATCTCTTTGGAAAACTTGGAACCACACATCACCGTTAAAGATGCATTTATAGCTACATTAAAGTAATTTACCCCAGAAGAGACTTTTAAACTATGAGGCCAGAATGGGTTAATATGACCCAACTCCATGACTGTTTGATGACGATAATGATTAAAGTAATTTAACGTGTTACTACATTATTTTTTAATCACAAAGTAAGTTCTTAAACATGCTGTTAAACTCAGGTGGCACATTACTTATTAAGAGTTCACTTAATGATTTTGTCAGTGGCTCAGACTAAATAGCATAAAATGAGAGGATGATGAATAATGAACTTGCAATGAGATTAAATAATTCCGTTACAGGTCTGAATTCACTGAGACGCTTGCAGATGCACAACAATTTAATACAGCAGCTGCCTGAAGAAGTGCTGAGTGATCTCGAGGCTTTGGAGCAGCTGTCCTTACAAAAGAATCACCTTTCTTCGATTCCCCCAAATCTCTTCAGCAATCTAAAACATCTCAAGCACTTGGACCTAACAAACAATTGGATATCTTTGGTATACGTTCTCATCATCTAAATTAATAGTTCTAGGATAGCTGGACCACTTCATATCACTAAGAAATCTTGCAGATGATGACCAGTATAACTTACCACAACGGTGACAATTTTTTTCCCACCTGAACACTAGAGGGAATGTGAATGTCCAGATTCACAGGCCAGGAAAAGAGATATTAGACAAACTGAAAGTACTTGAAATAAAATTACCAAATGGAGTCTAGTGTCAAATAAAAATGACAGATTATGATGATAATGTCATAGTTACTTAAGTACTGCTGATATTGTATGGACTGTGAATATACAGATATATTTTTAAAGTAAGTCGTCACTCTGCAAACATGCACAAAGTCCATAATAACTATTCGTGATAAAATTGAAACACCAATATATCATATTCAAGAGGGACCATATCATAAAATTGGGTTACAGCAACATCCTTTCAAAATCAAGCCAGTGAAATCAATATACATTACGAAGAAACCCATTAAGTCAATGTGCATTATCATAAAAACCTGCCATTGCATCCTGTCCTCAGTGACTTTAATCCAGTATTCATCATCACAACATATTCAACTAGAAATTCAGTTTAACATTCTCCACCTCCACCATAACCTTCCAAGTCCCTTTATGTCTGCAAGGCATGTTCTTAACATGCATGGGGGGGGGGATAAGAAATGCGTACAAAATTTTGGTTGAGAGTCTGAAGAGAACTGCTCACTTAAAATATTAAAATGGATCTGAGAGAAAAACGCTGTGAGGGTGTAGACTAAACTTGGCTCAGGGTATGGAGTAGTGGAGGGCTCTTGTGAATACAGTAAATAGACTTAAGAGTAAATGTGATTTTATATAACATTTTGAAAATTGAAAACTATTAAGTTTTGCAAGTAGGTAAGTTTGGGTGCTAGTTAGATCTGATGTAACAAGTGCAGAGATTATTTGCTATCACAAGTATATGTTTCAAATTAAAGTTATTTATTATAACAACTTCTCCCATCTACAGCTTGGCGGGCAAGAATTCTCGAACCTCGGTGAACTGGAAGAGTTGCATCTCGGTCAAAACTACCTGGAGAAACTACCAGATGGGATGTTCCTTCACATGAAAATGCTTAAAAAACTATTCCTCTTCAACAATAATTTAGAAAGACTGAACTCAAAAACACTGGAAGGTTTGAGCAACCTTTCCTCACTCCTGATCAACAACAATTTACTAAAACGTATTGGAGCCTTCATCTTTTCTCATGTGCCAGATCTCATAAAATTGTAAGTTTCACTTAAACCACATTAGAATTTCAGTTAATTACATCTATAAGTCTACCCACTGGAGCAGAGCCTAAATGCACAATTCACGTCAAATGGTGAAGTTTAGGTCCAAGTGCTTACAAGAAAAGCACCTATAATGAAAATCGCCTGCAATGCATCGTCTCATATCCTTCAGGTGAAAGAATCTTTAACTGTGGGAAAATTTTCACATAAAATGATAAGCATGAGCCACAAGTGTTTCTAAGATTGAGGCCAAAGGAATTATATAATATAAAAAACTCATGACGTTCAAAGTTATTAATGCCACTGGAGGTTACACACACAATAAAGTGACATAACAGAACTTTCATAGATAGTCAAATAATTTATATTAAAATGACAAACACACAGAAAATTCTTTCAATAGGTCTACTGAAGAATCTTAGTAGCATAATCTATTGACCTATGACAACAATCATTTACTGATAGTTAATGTGTTTTGCTTTTAGGCATATCGACAGCAACAAACTGCAGTTTATTCCAGCTGGATCATTGGATTTTATTCCCAAACTCAGGACAATGAAACTAGGAAAAAATCCATGGAACTGTGACTGCTCTGCCCTCTACCTTTCAATGTAGGTGTATTTATATCACATTACTCATAGATTATTTACCACGGTAACGTAAAGCCTCTAGTTTCCTAGAAGATGACTGAAGAAGAACCTGTGGAAAACTAACGTGGAAACAGAATACATAAAATTACGTACATACACATTTTCAAGGAACTGAGACCTTCTTGAAAACCTAACAGTTGCTCAGCTGGTCAAGAAACTTAATGCCTTTTATGAAAACAAAGGGTCCATTGAAAGTATTCACAAGAGCCTGTCAATGGTCCCTATCTTGAGCCTGATGAATCCAGTTCACACCCTGACCCGATTTCTTTAAGAACCATTTTAATATTATCCTCCCATCAAGTTTTGCTATCAAAATGTGTTTTGCATCTCTTTCCATACATTACTGTTTGCAGGCAGAGAAGCCATTGAGAAAATAAATTATAAAATAAGTCTGGTAATACCCACCCCCCAAAAAACAACACATTTGTAACGTTTTGGAAGTCAAAATATGCATCCATGTAAAATTTACCCTCAAAAGGCTTTCCTGATAGAAGACAGGAGAAAAATAATACATGACATGAGTAACCCACATACCCTCTGAAGAAATTTAGGGTAAAAGAGGCTGAATGTGCTGCTTACAGAAGTAGCAAACAATGAAATGCATAACAGTAAATAGCTGCAAATTTCTCTCACTCATTTTCTAGAAGCACACATCATGCTGAGCACAGAATCTCCAGAATACGGTTAGGCTACGTTACGGACCTGTTTAGAAGACCTTTTGATGGTAAAACAGGAAAGTAACACCAAAATTCTACACTTCTTTTCAGGTGGTTACGTGAAAACAAACATAAAGTCTGGGACTCAACCCCTACATGCCATGGGCCAGGAGATCTTGGTGGACAGCGCATTGAAGACATGGTGTTTGATGATCTCTGCACAGGACAATGGGCGAGTATGATGAACTTAGCTCCACGTTTACCCATAAAGTGAGCACACATATATGTAAACAACATGTAATATTAGTAAGTGATAATGAAGCCTTAGAACATCTTGTATATTATTTGTGGTTTATTTAACAATGCTTTAGTAGCTCAGATTATAAGTGTCAAATGATAGGATGAATGCGAAAGAATAAGGTAAAGCGTTGTGGCCTATTTTACAATATTATACCAGCATTTTCCTGAAGGAATTCAGGAAAACCATCATAAATTTTAGTTACATCAGCCAACCCCTGGGCTGAGATTTGAACCTAGCACATCCTAAGCAAGAAGCAGCAATATTTAGTTAGTCTTTGTATCATGACCATATTTATATCCCATTTTGGGTAGCAACAAATCAGAAATATATAGAATTTTATATAACGCATCACATACATATATTCATCTCATGAAAAATTATTGGTAAAAAAACAATGGGTTTAAAATGTTTGAGTCGTACTGAGAGAAAATAAGGGAGAGAATTAGGAAGTAAACAGTTTGAAATGCCAGAATCTGAATTTTGTTAATACAACATGAAAAGTTTATAAGATTTCAATAAAAATGTGGGGCAATATCGCAGAAGGTTGACATATTCATGGATTGAACAGCCATGCCACACTTCCACGATCAACTTTAAATCCTAATATGACAACACACCAGTGGCTTTGACCATCATTAAACAACAAATGAGCAATGTACACTTGCATAATGTGAAAAAACTGTGAGAAGTCAACTACAATAAATTTGCAAAATTACCTCTCAAAAATAATAAAAACATTTGTAAAATTTTTGGTTTAATATGAAGCAATCAACTACTGAGGAAGGAATATCTGAAAACTTGGTTATATTTTATATTTTGAATAATCAAAAACATTTCCAATTTTATAACATAATTTTAGCTTCTAATCAACCAGAACTCCTGGGCCTTTGTACCACAGACTGAAGCTGTCCATCTACAAACTTCACGTCGTTAGAATTGTACATGCATATTCTCCCACACAAAACACAAGAAATTTGTAATCTGAGACATTATACTATACCGGACTCCCTGAAATTTCAAATTTATACTGAGTTCTTTACAGTATTAAAAGGATAAATTATGTTGCATACAGTAGTTACACATAATATACGTTGTCTCGCACCAACTTCTATCCAATATCACACAGAAGTAAAATATACGAACTAAAATTAAAGTTAGCAAATAAATCAAAATATCATTAACTCAACTACAGTCTCCATTGGTAGCACATGTTTGCACACACAAAATTAGGAATTGAATCATAAAAAGTAAAAATCCTTCCATTCAGTATCAAACGAAGGCAAATCATGTTGCCTGGAATGGTGCCTGAAATTCTTGTATCTGTAAATCTGCGTGTTGCACAACTTACACTCATATACTTTTCCTGATTGACTCACATACTTTGCCTTTACTTCAGAATGTAAGAACTTGCGTTTACTATGAAAAATTCTGGTATGCGCATATAGATCAGATGGATATGTAAATGTTCTTTTACACAACTCACATCTATGTACTTTTACCACTTTTACACCCTTCCTGACACAAGCGGGCACCTCTTCACGCACATCTATATGACGACAACTACCAGTAATATTATTTTGATTCAACTCTCTCTTCTGATGATCTACAGGTTTTTCACACATTTCTGAAGTCAGTTTTCTTTTATGCTGAACACATGACCTCAAACTGAAAAATATAGAATGTCATGCTATGTTTTTAAATTCATTCTTGGGCATTTGTTGAGCACACAACATGAACACCTTATTTGCACATATGTCTGTCATATCTTTCAACTCCAAAAGTATTTGGCGGATTTTGCACCAGAGGCCCTAAAGAAATATAAATTTGATCAGTGCCAGCCAACTGAGAAAGCTACTTCAAGCAACGGTCTACATGCAGTCATCTCTTATTCTACTTAAATACTCACATGCTCTGTACACAATGAGCAAGTTAATGCAGACCAATGGTAGACCATTTTTATTTTGCTGTCACTATTAAAAATATATAAACAAAATCACAATGAAGTCTTATCAATCAGCTGTATAATCATGGAATAAGCTTCTGTTTTCAGTATTTTTTTCTACTTCCATCTTCAGGGATTGATTGGATGAGTGACATAACTGTTCACTGTTACCTCTCACAATTGTGCCCAGTGATGTGACAGTACTCCTTCACAGAGGATGGAGTCAAGAGCTCATCTGAGACGCTATGTAACCGCTCTCTTCCTTCCTTGCTGATCGCAAGGAGCTCTACTATGATGATGTTGGTTGGGATTGTTGGGATCTCTCAGGGTTCGTTGCTCAGCTCAGCTAGTCGGTATGCATCGACTCACTCTCATTCGGTGTCACGGCCAGTTCGTAACAACCAGATTGAAAACACGGATTGTTTGGAAGTAACACACTATTTATTAATCACCTGCATGATCCTTGATGTTTTACACTTTGTAGATTTTACAATCCTCACAACTCACAACCACACACTGACTTCACAATTACCTCCTTTCTTAATACTGTAACTTTTAATGTATGAACAATCTTGAATGCTGAATGATCTTGAATGACTAAATAATCTTGAATGCTGAAGGACTCTCTCTTGAATGATTCTCCTGAATGACTCTCTGCCAGCGAAATAACCCCTTTTTATACCATAAGCACCCTTAGCAAGCAACCAAAATTCCCAGCTTTGCCCAAAAGGAAATGTAACATCAAGTCCCATTGGTGCGGGTGCAGGTTCTGTTTGAAGGACCTCCCTTTTCCCACCAATCTTCAGGGAGCTCCTCTCACACTTTTACTTCCAAAAGGGCCTCACTAACTAGGCTTATTATTATTATTAAGTGTTCTGTCTTACGACAGGTCCATTGCTCTGCCCAAAAAGAGCTCTCCAGTTGTCCCTATTCTCGGCTTCTTGCTTTAATTCCTGGAACGTCATCTTCTTTCCTTGTTTAAGGTCGTC